AAACACCACTGGAGGTACCGACATTGCCATAGACGGAAACCCATTCACGCTAGCACTGGATGCTGTCAGTTACCCATCGTTTCCACAATCCGTTCCTGGTCCACACCCCGTTGATACTAGTATCGGCTCCCTTTCTAGGTTCGAGCCTGGGCCTGGGTTACCTTGGGATTGGGTTGGCTGCACCGACAACGATACAATGTTTTCGTTCCCAGTCAATGCAGCATTAAGTTCGGATACCTTGCAGAACTGTCCTTCGAGTCAATATATGCAGCCAATGAGCTTCGACTATCAAACTTAACGGCAGGCGAAACTGCTGTCTGGATGGAAACTACTTGGGAAGCAAAGTCATAAAGAGGTTACCGTAATACTTAAAGGCAGATCAATACTTAGGGCCATCATTTACGCCGCTAAATCTTCTAGGTTGCTTAGGTGGTAGAATTTACCCTGGGAGGACCTTGCTAATTTGACTTTCCACGCCGATTAGGGCTGAGCCTACCGTATACTTCCGAGAGCTGGGGCGATTCAGAGCCACGGGCTGCAAACAAGTCGGTTAAGCGTTCATGTCTCGATATTTCAGCTTCGTTGATCATGATCGGTAGCAAGTGACCCTTCAAACACATTATGGAATCATCTTGAAGCAGAAGAACAAAATAAATGGTACAATATATCAATAGTTTAACCTCACAAACTCCATTCGCGCCACCAAGTCCGCCGAACCACGAAAAGGTGCCGGCTATACCTAAGAGCGAACCAGGGTTTAGGTAATCAGGAATTATTGACCTCAAAAGAAGAACTCACTACCACCTTCCTATATCATAGGCGTACCCAGCCCTCGAGTCGGGGATGGCTGTAGGGATGTTGCAGTTCCAGCTGTGTTGGTTGGGGTGGCTTACATGGTTAGACATTTCGTGCGAGAGGTAGGAAAATCTTACCCTGCTCTTCCGGGATCACATCCACCGTCAGCCAAGGTCGACTTGACACAGATCTTGTCGCCGGCGTCGGAGTCTTTGGAATTCCTTGATCTAAGCCGAAGGGCACCTCTTGTTGCTCTTGTACTTGGGGTTCTCGGTTGCGAATCGACGGTGTGTAAGATTTCAGAGTTTCGCCCGTATATTGGCTATTAGCTGCTTTCAGCGTAGGTTTGTAGGCCCGCGTGGATTGGAGGGGTAGATTTAAAAAGTCCCCGGTGCGTCGGGCGGGATTCTTATCGCGTCTCCGGAACAATGGGTGTACCATTTCGTTTTCTTCGCTTTCGCCATCTTCCACCATAGGCCGCCGTGTTTGTGGATTTCCTGTTTTGCGGAAAGAAGGGGCGTGACCATTATAAGGTGCTTGAGGTAGCGGTTTGTTCATATATCTCAACGCAACTATAGATAATAAGTTAGGGAGTAATCCTGGCTATAGGTTTAGACGAACCATTTGCGGCAGATGGAGGCTCTTCCTCATTCTGGCGGCGAACGCGGCGAAGAATTGTAAGCTGGAGGAAAAGAAGCCCGAGGAAGACGACAAGGAACGTGATGAGGACTAGTCCGACAACGATCAAAGTGGAAGACGTGTTATCTAGGACCATTTTGATCTGACACCTTTAATGGCGAGCAGTGTTATTGTCAATCGTTCCATCTGCGAACTTTTTATTCATGGTCGACGACATTTCTTCAATGGGCGAGCCGCCATGGTGGAGATGAAAGCTCAGACAATAGTCGGCCTCGCCATGGCCGAGGCCAGGTGAGCATGGTGGTGTGGAGGATGAAGCAGTCTTTAACTGCACATGGCTATACAGAGAAGTCGTGTTCAGACACAGTATTTGAAGGTTACTTAGCGTGGCGTGCGTGGCTGGGCAATTCAGCGCCCCAACGCAAGGCCCAGTGGCCCAATTTTAGCGGCGCGTCTATTGTAACGCCTAAGTTAATACTCACAAAATGGACGGCGAGACGCCGAACGCCTACTGTAACCTCAGGAAGCCGAGGTATAAAATGTCAGTGACCTTGGCGTCTGTACCACATGCTTTCGGGGTTAGAGGTGGGGTCTCGGGGTCAACCAGAGCCCGCAGTAAACCCCCGACTGTGTTAGGGAAGCACCACAGATCGTTGCGACTACATTTGGCCTAGTACCCCAGGGACTATAAGAGCCAGGCATTTAGATGTAAACGGGTTTAGGTACGGGTCACCAGTTTTCTGTATATCTATAACTTCTTAGGCTCTGATTCGGACTCTATGGAAGATGCTAGTGAGAGTAAATTGATCCCCTCCAACGAACATACCGCTCACATCCTTGAACAATATCAAAATGACCTCACCTACCAATGTGTTGGTCTCATCGACCAGAAAACCCAAATTCTGCGCCAAAATATCCATTCGATTCTGAGACAATACGGCGGGCCGAAGGACATGGAGCGAAGGATCGAAGCCATCGAAGGGGAAAACCGGAAGCTCAAGGATACCGTAGTCAATACAGATCACGACAAGTATAGATTGAGGAAGACGCTTAGTGCAGTGGAAAGAAACTGCGCAGAACTACAAACTTCCCTGAACGAAGTCGGCCTCCTTTTGGCCCAGGCCTACCGATTTCGAAATGCTACCGAGGATGAAGTCCAGAATCAACTGAGAGCGAGAGGGATAACTGAGACGACCATCGGTCTCCTCGTCGGCAACGGGGAATTTATACAACAGCTTGCGTACTATACTGCTCCTAGACGGTCGGAAAGGCTTCTAAAGAGCTCAAAGTTTCCTGAAAGGGAGGACTTTGACGAGGGTGATGAGTGAGGTAAATATGCCGGTACCATCAGCTGCGACAGTTGGACGGCCGCGACACATAGATTTTTAGTAGCCTTAGGATTGTCACCCCCTATAAAATCTTTCGAAGCGGAGTAAACACTCCTTTTACCATATCGAAAAATGTAGAAAACACTCTCTACAAATACATAACGCCTAAATCACTTACAGCCTCGGCAACCATAGGACAATTGCCACTATATTCTCGCCATTAAGTCTAAGAGCAACAACGAATCAAACATTTCGATCTGAGGTTTTTAGTTCGACGTCCTCCCAGACTGCCCACCATCGCCATATTCTCTTGCTCCACGTCGTGTATTCTTCAAGACTGGCTATCCCCGGCCAGCCAAGTACATGAGATAGATTCCCACGCCGGTCTTCCCACCACGTCAGGACACCCGGACTCGGTGACCAAGAGCGAATTGTATAGTCATGATTTCGAAATGGTCCTGGGCCGCCAGGCGCAGGAGCCATCCAGAACTGTGGGGCCTTGTTCTGTGAAGGCCCGAGCTGGATCGTGAGGCACGGTGGCTGGAAGAATCTAAGGGTCTTTTAGAAGTTACCTAGACCAAGCTCCGCTAGACTTACTCATGTTGACAAATCTGCACGGAAGGGTGCGAACAGATTGCTGGAATGCTGGACTGGAATAACTCTTGTCTCTCAGGGATAGTCGACAGTGTAGCGTACGTCAAGGGCAGCGCCGCCACCGCGTCGAGCACTCGCATAACTTCTGATGGTGATGTTTGCTTGATGTTACGGTACAAAATAATCGTATAGTACTGCAACATTCACTCGTCTCCAGCTTGATTATCCGATACCTGGTTTGTTTGACCACTACTGAAATTACACGGAATCCGGTGGCAAGCAGAACAGTGTGGATCGTCGGATTCCTCGCTCTACACGCTAAATCGTGCTGCGGGACATAGACAGTATACCAGCCACGACGAGATGCTGCATCTGGCAGATAGATTTTCTCCGCCTTTCTTCCACACAGCCTCCCATACAATACGTTCTTAGCATGAGTGCAGCAGATAGGGAGACTCGGCAGAATGGGGAGGTCCAGCGGCTAAATCAAATCCTCACTGGTCGAAGATCGACTATAGTTCAGTACTTAGCAGAATCTGCTTTGAACGTTGTCCTCTATCCGGACGAAGTTTTAGAAATTCGACGGCACCTAGAGGCTTTCATCGCCAAACTCGCCTCTGCCTCTGGTACCCAAGACCTAGATCTACTTCTCTGCACCGTCTATATGCAGCGGCTTAGGTTCATCCTCCCAAAGAACGCTGAAGGTGTGTCTTCGACCCCCTACCGTATTTTTATGGCATCATTGATAGTATACCTGAGATACTATTACGACGTTAGCCCGAAAAACTTAAAGTGGGCTAAATGGTCCAACATGGAGAACCGTGGATCGTTTAGTTTTACCTTGGAACAGGTCAATAGCATGGAACGGAATCTCCTTCGTCAGCTTGACTACGACTTAAGAATGACAGAGAAAGACGTCTCTAGCCGGCTTGAAGCTTTCTCAACCTACGAAAGATTCGCAGAGCTGACTTCAGAGTCTAAGGTCGGTCATAAATTACCCCGACATGAATCTGCTTGGGAGCAAAGGAAGGGCTGGCACAACCCACATCTATGGCAAGTAGCACAAAGTGAAGGTATCTGATGGCAGCGTCATTGTAGGATACGGCCGTGCTGGGTGTCGCGCAAATTGGTTGCATTATTGGATCTCGGCTTTCGGAGTGTCGGCGTTCATATGCCTGCCGGTTCAAGTATCCGCCCGCTGCCCGTCCAAACCCCGAGCATCAAGTCGGTCCAAAAACTGGTCGCAACAAGATAGCTGAAGACTGGACAGACTTCGCCAGGATATTTTACAGGCGGATGTTGAGAGCCGCATCAGACCCCCTTGCGAGGTCTCTGGCTGACTCCAATTTAGCCCCACAGAGAATAGGTGCGCAACCCCTGGACCCACTATATGGCTGAGCTGCGGCTAGAACTTATACAGGTGGAACAATTAGAGAGAGGGCATCCGTTCGCGAAACAAGAACTTTTCTCGGTGCACATATCGCCGTTTCCGGCGACATGGAGCATTTGGCTGCAGCCCACCTCTTCGCGGACGAGTAGCAAAGTCTGACGACCACGGGGCTTTGTAGATATATTGGAGTCATCCTGACATCTTTCAGAGTACACTGCTCGAAATATGTCTGACCATTACGCATAACATTCCAGTGCCTTTCTATACAAAGTGTGGACAATGGACTGTACGATATTTCGACCAATTCCGTGAACAATCCACCCCAACCTGCTCTAATAGGTGCTTCATAGATGAACTAGTAGCTACTCAGAATTTGTGGCTGCAGCTGGCCTGGAGGACACTTCCCGCGAGTTCTTATAGTAGATGTACCCTCGCCGATTGCTCGGGGAGGCCTCGCCGTTCCTCTGCGCCACTCCGAATTTCTGCCAAGCTGCGATTGGTTGAGTTTGCGACCAGACTTGTATGCTTTCTTGGGGGAACCGGGGATTCTTCGTTGAGGACCAGATGTACCATATGAACCACCGACATAGCGAGTGATCGAGGTATTTGATTCTGTGGACAGATTCGTCAAGACGGTCAAGGTTCCAATATTCTTTCGCCTGGCAGGGACACGCATCCGCCTCGGGGTATCTTGACATATCATGTTTTTGGCATGACGTCGTTAAGTCTCCTATCTTTTCCGTTGTTGCGCCTATACGTCTCTCCAACCGTCCAATGATGTAAGTTCTTAGGTAGTGTGACATGTCTTTTGGGTCGAGAGTGGTATGGATTTGTCGGTCTATAGGATGAAGGTAGTGTTGCCTTTCCCTCCAAGTGGTGATCACTGCTTTAACGATGAAGATCTTAGGCCTCTGAGGCGACCGACCCAAACCAAGGTTTCCTCACTTTTCTGTGGGTTACGAGCTTGGAGCCTCATCTCTACGAGTCGCCTCTAGTGGTGCGGAATCCTCTGCCGCTAATGGACACTTGGCCACCAGCGTTGCCACAAGGGTCGGCCTCTCGTACGGGAAGGTCAGTCGGCCTTGTCACGACCAGTGAGCCTTGTCTCTCCATTCTTGAAGCAGCCAAAGGACGGCCATGACCATTATTTGGGCTGCTTCTAGCGTGCCGAGTCACCGCGGTCCTGAAACAGTCTTGGGTCTCAATAACGGCCTCCCACCGCAGCAGAAGGTCACACCACTGCGTGCAGATAATCAATGACCACGGATTGTTGCGGAAGCTGGCGGTCAACCCGGAGCGAGTGGTGACTCCTGTGTTCGAGGTTCAAATTATCGCGAGCTTTTGACCAGGAAGTCACATGAAGTCGTCGATAAATATATAACCGTTCCTCTCCGCTGTGTTCAAATGTATAGTAGCCCAAAGTCGTTGGGACCAGTCAGGTAAGAATCTGAAAGTCCGTTACACCGGTACCGCTGACAGTATGATGTCGTCAAGGGTCATCTGCAAATTTTATGGAGAGCATCAAGACTATGATCACCTCACCATTACAGCTGGTCGAGGAGCCCAAAACCGAAGAACAAAGAGATCAGCCATGCATTGAACAAACACCATCGCCGGACGCACCCAATTTACAACTCCGGGAGGGTGATGAATCTGTGAACAATCGACTGTCTCAAATGGAATTGAAAAATAAATGGCTCAAAGCAACCTTGCAACAACGAACTGCAGAGCAATTCCAGCGAATGAGGAGCTTCGAGGAAATGGAACGACAGAACAGGGTGATGGTTAATGGGTTGCAACAATTCCAAGAAGCTCTGCACGGTCTGCAAGAACAAGTGAGGACTTTACAAAGCAAAGTGGAGGCAATTCTGGGGAGGTTGGATGTAGCTACCTAAGAGGACCCTTTTGACGCCCTCGATAGCTAGTATCAGTACGGTCATGAAGGCCCCGTTGCTCTTGATCCAATTCCTTGACAAAGCACTTGTTAGCCAGGAGAGTCGCGTGACACTTCTCTTTCACGCCTTCCAAAACCGAATCTAGTACTCTGTGCTTCCTAGATAGTCATCTTCGAATTCTTTCCATTTTCGCATTCTCACCACTTCAGCGCCATTTTGTCATTTCAGCCCAGCATCAACTGAACCTCGAGATCATTAAATTCTCGACATGTCTTCCTCCACGCCTGTTCAGTCCATCGAGGCCGATGAAGCTACCAGTGTCACGACTACTGGCGGTCCACTCTTTCCTTATACTTGTACACCTATTCCCGAACTCCAAGAGACTGATCCGTACAATCGATATCTCATTCACTTCACCATCAAGGGTGGAAAGGGTGAGTGGGAGATGGCTATCGAAGCCGCTTCAAAGAAGCCTTTCCGCAATCTTGTCAAGGGTTGGGAAAAAGCTGCGCAGCAAGGAGACGAACAGGTCAAGGCAGAAGATTACATCTATATTATTGAGATACAAGGTCATGAAGGGAAGAGAGTTCATTCCTGGGAGATGGGGGATAGTCTTCGTCGATTGGGGCTGAGGGAGAACGGTGTGGTCCAGATCATACCTAATCCTTCGGAAAACTACGATACTGGTGGTGATGCAGAGTATGAAACGGGAGAGGACCATGGGGCTCAGGGTACTTTGGTCACTCGGAGGATGACTCGATCAATGAGGCCAACTTAGGCCTAGAGTCTTGGTACTGAGAGGCGGCGCGTGAGATTCATCCAGCATTGCCTGAAGGGGGTGGGTGCTGTTGATTGTGTGCCCTGAATATTTGACCTTTCCCTTGGGCCCAGCGTAGCTGTGTAAAGTGTACTGAAATAACGATCTCTACTTCAAGATCAAGACGGGTCATGGAACAACGCTCATGGATACAATCCTATTCAATTTTGTGCTACGATCTCCGAGTCTATATGAATATCAAACCCCATGCGAGTCATGTTCATCCAGCCAGGCCAAAGCAGACGTAAGAAATGACTCTTGATCAACCTCGGTGCCTGTTACACCGAATTCGGTGAGCCAGACGGTGTCGATCCCTTATGCGAGGCAATAGACGCAAGATTTTCAACGTGAGATTGTAGGTCACTTAGCTGGCTGGCGTCACTATACCAATGAAACGTAACAAAATCGACAACACAAGAAGAGTTACAGGCCTTGAAAAATTGCTCTAACCAAGCAATCCCCATAGTTTGGCTGTCACTGACGCCATTTGAGATCGCTGGTGAGCCAATCCAAGCCCGATCCGAAAGCGGATTCATATATAGGATGTGGCTCGCCGCAGCGACGTCTGGTGAAAGGTTGGCCTGTGCAGGAATATCCGGCTCGTTGAAGGATAAGAGATGCCGTGAACCTGCTTCGATAGCAGCGTTGGCATCGGACGTCCAAGTGGATGTGCTCCCAAGGCCCCAAAGCATTGGAACATATTCAATTTCTAGGGGCAACTCCCCCGTTCGGCTGGTCCAGTCATAGCCCCAAGTTACCATGGCTCCTTGGAAAGCCGCTGTCAACATTGGGTCGTTATAGCTCAATCCTCTCTTATCGAAAATCTGGTCACTTGTAGCCGTCGCGAGGGGAGTAGGTAGACCAGTCGTCACCGCATTCGTCGATATTCCAGGAGCATCGGGCCAAGGGAGACGTAAAGACTGCGTCGTATTGATCCATGGAGGCTCCACTGACGCGCAGGGCCCTCCAGAAAGTCTAGGCGTGTGGGGAGCCCCCATTGCCGGCTCCACGACTACGAATGAGCTCCCGATCTATCAATCAATGCTTCTGCAGAGGACACTTAACTCGCAACTCATAACTTTCGAAAGACTGAGCGATGGGTTGTCCAAACTGTGAATTTGACATAGGAAACCGTGGAGTAAGGAAGATTTACTGCGAGGTCTGTCGCTATATGTACAATAAAACATATGTGGGATGGATTCTTCACCAGTGCAACTGGAAACCTACATGCTATTATGAGACACTATTATAGGAGTACCCTTCTAGACTGATGAACCATCTACGAATTATACCCTATACTCCGTGGGAGTGGTGTTTTTTTTTAACGATAGAAATTAATGGGTAGACAGCTCTGAGGATCCATCGGGTCAACAATTTCAACGACCACTATGCATGGGGAGTTTCCAGCACTCTAAGCACTGTGGAAACTTAGCTTCGAACTCCCATCAGTTTTATGAAATAGGGGTTTGGGAATCATCTACAAAGTTTCTCTAACGGGATATTGGCTTTTATCACCCACTAGCCGCCGTGGTTATTAGGTTTCGAGCCTAGCCTAGTGAGCCCGTTCGTACAGTAGGATTACCCGAGCTGGACTCCTTCGGAGAGGGTATCCCTATCTTTTCATAGAGAGGAGGACAACAAAAGTCGGGGTTTGGTTTATACCTCCTCTCCTTCCACGTACTAGGCTGTAGTGCGGTCAGATTATCTTGTGCTGTTTCGAGTGCACGCACCCACCCAATTAGTAGGTTTATTGTATGAAGTGCCATCGATACAGTACAGTATCCTGTCTAGACCGGAAGATTTCAATGGTATAGAACACTACTCATTGTACTATAGAACCTTCAACTGTCAAGGTTTCACCCAATCTTCTCCCTTATTCTTCTCTAGACTGCTATTTACTGATCTTTTATCATCAGAAGTTTCGATTCATCTTTATTTGGATACTTTCAGCCTTGAGTCGGGCTGAGCTTCCCCGTATAAGCTCGAAAGTCCGATATCGACCCGTCGCTGAAACAGCTGGTGTGGTAGTAGATCCTTGATAATGGACAGGGAGGATGGAGCAAAGAAGTTGGATGCAGGCCTTCAGCATGATCTCAAAAGCAATCAGATCACATCCGGGCGTGCCAGCGAGCAGTGGTGCATAGACTCTTGTCACCAGTGTAACCAACGTGTTATACACTTGGAGGATTTTCTCGGATGGCGTGATAAGGTTGAAGGTTGGATGAATAACACAATACCTGAGATCAGGTCTCCCTACGACGAAAGAACAATGAAGACCCTAGTATATATTGAAGTTAATCAATATCATCAGCGTCTACGAGAGCGTAAGAAGTCTTCCAGGTATCGAACGCAGTATGCATTCACTAATAGCATCGCAGAGGAATCTTTATAAACGACAAATGTACCTTCGGTTGTTTAGAGCCGCTGAATGGGTATACGCGTACCCCTTTAACCATCAAGATTCCATAGTGATCATCTTCTCACCCGCCCTCTCCAAACATTTCAGCCAAGTATCATTCGAACGGTACTGTAGAAAAGATTACTATCTGCTTCCCTGCCTCTGATACTCAAAAGGCTACAACAATAATTGAGAATAGTGGCCGCGCGGTACCGTCGCTATTCTTCTTGGTACTGTTTCAGGGAGATGTACTGCCTAGAGCGCGAAATTCCTCAAACCAATGGTTTACTAGTACCTTCACCTCTATTAACCATGACTCTAAGGCGCTATAGGCGCTAGATAGCTCGAGACCAATGTCAGTTTTGGTCAATTGCGTTCTTAGGACTAATTCTTTCTGGAACCAGTCTGGCATGACCTCATCGACAAAGTAACATCGTTCTGCCTTCAGCCGTCTTTGAGCATTATACAGGTATATTTCCTGATCGAATCTTTGATTTGAGCGGTTTGTCGATTTTGCGCGTTGTTCAAGCACAAATTGTTCATATAATAGCCTCGTTCTTTGAAGTGACGAGAGAGCAATGGAAGTCGAGACGTAAAATTGTCGAAACATGTCCACTAGCTCCTTTCTTACGTGGTAATCTGATAGAGGTGGTCCAGCCACTATTCTAGAGAGGTCCTCAAGACTGTGCTGGTGGGCCGGTTCTAGAAAAGGTTCTTCCTCAAAGTTCATTCTGAATATTTCCCACGTTTTCAGGATGGGAGGTACAGTACACAATCACATGACGTCTCGAAGACTCTTCCGGAATTGCGGCTATACACCAGCTAAATATGTATCGTCGATATAGCCCACGTAAAATGCTGGTGTTTAGGCTTACACTACTTATGAGTAAATTAAGTGGAATACAACGAGATATATGGCCTTTTTTAAAGTCATGCGAGTAGCTTAGTTCTATTCAACCTGGTCTGTCTGGCCTCAGTAAAAAGCCCTGCTTAGTGAGACGACAACTGACAGTATTTCCGTTGCTTTCTGCTAGTCACGCTTTTACCTAGCCCCTACGGCAGGAGAATACTGCCATTAGCCGCAGTTCTGCGAGTCCCGAGGATCTTCTGTTGTGTCCTTTTCGTTCTTTTCGATAGGCGAGGTCTCTCTAATCCCTTCTGCACGTTGAGATATTTCTTCTTGTAGATGCATCCGTAAACTCTCGCTAACCGAAGGAGCTGTGCTACGAACAAACTGAATGGACTCAAAAGACGACGTACTCTGGGGAAGGAGTGTCTTGTACTCTCGGCAGCAGAAACATTTTGCAAAAAAATCAAATAGTTGCTTTGCTGGATTGCAAATTATAGTAAGCGTGCCACGGTACTCCATCAACTTTACGGGCGATTGAATATTCCTGGCACCTGAATTTGTATACGCTTGTGCTTAAGGGACTTGATCTCTACTATTTAAGAGGAGGTGAGTATTCGTATCCGCAAGGGCCATACCACGATTTACTGAAGTAAAGCATTGTAGTGCGTTACCACTATATCTCCTGGTCATTCACAACTTGGACAGTGATACAGGTCGGTTCGGCGTCGCTCACTCGGTATTGTACTGTTATATACTTTTGTCTAGGCGTCAGCTTAGAGCTTCCTAACTCTCCTTGTTAGAAGTTGGTGGTCCATCTCCGCAAAGGTGCAGATCAACAGTGCCGTCAATATGAACTATTTTGAACTGATCTCGGACGAGACTATAACTGGTATCTTGGACTGCGTAAGAAAATCCACTCTCGCACCGTGGTGGATGGCGATTAACCTGCGTTAGCTCGATATTCAAGACGTACTTGCAGTAGTACGTGT